AATGAGCTCACCCAGGTCTTGTTCTGAGATTAATAGGTGGAAGTTGAAGGTGATCATTTTTCTTGCTCAAATGTAAGATTTTTCACAATTAGTCTGTTACATTAATGTTAAGAAGATTAGTTGCCTTAAAAATAGTTAACTTTGATCATCTGTTAAGTCTCCAAGAGAAAGGGTGTCTCCATCAGAGGGAAACAACCGATTTTTAAGGCCTCGTTTCAATTTGAGTTTTCCTAAGTAGTATACTGTTTACTGTTTTATTGGATTTTTGTTGGGAGAGTGGATATTTAGTATTTTTATGACAATGAGATATATCCTTCAGGTAAAAGTATGCTTCTCACTGGAAATAATAATTTAAAGACTCATGGACATTGGCGTTAAGGGGATCTGGGCTTCAGTCAACTTTACCTCATTGACCACTGAGCTTGAAAAGTCTTCTCTAAATCGGTTTTGTCATCTCAAATGGAGAGAATACCAGCTAATTGCCTCAAAATTCTCTCTCAACCATTTCTCAAGTGGAATTATTAATATATAATACTAAAAGTAGATACAGTGTCAATAGTATTTATATTTGGGTGTTGAAAATATGCATGACATTTTAATATTCCTATACTTTCCAGATAATCTGTAATGATTATAAATGCATGTTTTAAAAGAAAGTGAAAAAAAAAATTCTCTCAGCATTTGAATATGCATTGTCCAATATGAGGGTTATTGGCTCTCTGAATTGAAATGTGCTATAAGTGTACAATACAAAACAGATTTAGGAGACTTAATAGGAAAAAATAATGTAAAACATGTCACACCTATTTTTATATTAATGTCATGCTGAAATGGTAATATTTTGGAAATATTGGGTTAAATTAAATATAATGTAAAAATTAAAAAAATAAAATAGAGAGAATAACAGCACACAGAGTAGCTATAAAATTTAAGTGAAATAATGCAGATAACCCACAGAATGTGGTCATCACTGGTATATCTCTCCCAAAGGAGGGGAAAAATGGAGAATAATGGAAGACAGGAAAGAAGGTTAAGAGGTTAGGCCTGAGAGTTTCTGACTACTCTGCAGCATAGTATGAGCTGTGATTTTTTTTTTACTCCGGGGAGTGATGAAAAAGAGACTAGGTATCAGATTATTCTGGTTAATTGTATAAACCTCCTCACCCCCGTTCATGACGAAACTTTGGATCTTGTCACAGTTCAGTATTAACCTATCCTATCATTAATCTCTCCCTCCAGCCTCCAGAGCAGAGGTGTATGTTGACAGAGAAAGGTTTTATTTCTGACCTCAAGGTGCTTATTTACAGACACTCCAACTGTTTTTGAGCTCCCCATGTGGGTGGAAGACAAGAATCACCACAGAAACTGGGATGCACAGACTAAACAGTGACAAAGGTGGAGCAGCGCAGGATGCAGCAGATCAAAAAAGACAGGGTCGCTCAGGGCCAGCTTAGGCCATCAGTGCAGACTAGGTCGAAGCTCTCCTGACTTTCAGTCTCAGGAGTCAAGCTGTGGGGGATAAGGACAACAAGGGTGACAGAGAAACAACCTCCAAAACTCTTCCAGCTGCATATCAGCTGTGCTCTTTGTCTTCTATTTTCTCTCCCTTTTCTGCCTCTACTCCTTGGCCAAAGCCCAACTGAGCCCAATGTGTGACTTAAAGGTGCTGATCAAGGATGGTGAAAATAATAATAATATTAACATTAATATTAATAATAATATAGTAGCTGAGATTTAGTGTGCCAGTTACCTTGTACTCTCCCCAGATTATCTCATTTAATCTTACCCATCATTCTAGATAGCAGGTACCGATATTATAAGAAAGTGATTCTTGAAGAGAAGTAGTTTGCTCAAGGTTTCAGAGTTGCCAAGTAGGGAACCAGGATGGAAACCCATCCTGGGGAATGGGAATCTGAGCCCTCCTTCCATCACTGCATTGCCCTGCCTCCTGAGACACTTTAGGATGTATTTAAGACATATGTGCCCTAGCCCAGAAGTTTGGCTGCACGTAAACAAGTCATGAGGTTTTAGTTCTAGAACTGGACCCTGCACTGGGTGATTGGGAGACTGGCCCAAGGGTGTAGTGAAGAAACTATTCATCTTTGGGAGAACTTCAGAAGCTTTTGTGTTTTGCTTTTTGTTATTTTTCTGAGTCACTGGGGCCGTAGAAGGTCATGCAGGGGAGGAAGCACCTCCTTGCGTCCCCAATAGTGGGCGGCACCCCAGTGTTCAGTGGGAAGTAAAAGGGTCCCCTCCAACCTCCTCTTTTGGACTTTCTAGAGGAAAAGGGTGCCAAAGGGCAGGGCCAGGGCACTGTACAACCTGCTTACTTTCTTTCCATGTCCTTCCTGCCTGAGGCTCCCTGGTAGGTCAGCTCACTTCAGTCTTCTGGCATCTCTATTGCAACTGATGATCATTTCCATGGGGAGGCATTCGAGGTGAGGGTTATAACGACCTTTAACTCTGGGTTTAGATGTGGCACTACCTTTATTTGTATAAGCATTCTGAGCTACTTCAGAGTCCTAACTATAAACATTGCTCAAGCAACTTCACATTCCTGAGGTGAGACCTGTATCTGGAATGGTTGCTCCATCTCTCAGTAATCTGTTTTAAGTCTGGCAAGAGGCTAAAGTCCTTAAGTGTAAAATCTGTCCCACCTACGGGAATATGATTCAGCAAGCCTAGCATCTGTGATAAATCTGAGGTAAGTCGTGTTTGGACTGCATTTTCAGAAACACTACTTAAAGTATAATGTCTAATTTCATTCCACTTTGTATTTCTTTTGAAATTATCTTCCAAGTTCTTCTCTATCGCTGACGTGAAGGTAAGTTCCTTAAAGGCAGGATACATCCAGTCCCTGGCAAGACCACGGTATCCACATGGGCAGACACTCCAATATCTACTGATTAGGGCTGAATACCAGATAGGACCCTGTGGAGCTTCTCCATGCGGATTTCAATGCCTAATTTCCTGAATGTCTCTGGGGAGTTCGTGATCCTCTCTCTAGGACTAGAGCAGCTCTGTACCCAGGCAGTGACAGTGAAGCCAACAACTGTTCCTGTCTAATCTCATAATTAATGGAGCCAGGCAGCCAGCCCAAATCTTCGGCACATTTCTCAATTGCTGTGCTCCACTGTCACTAGCCAAGTTCTATTCCATTTCCTTGGTCTGGGGTGGGCCAAGAAAACAGTCAAGTACATGAGAGTGAAGCTCTGCAAAGACAGCCAAATCCCAGCCAAGGGGGCGAGAGGTTCACTTCTCTACTCCTGCTCCCTGGCCAATCCAGTGTGGCAAACCTGTGCTACTTCTTGTACCTTGCACATAAGGAAAAGAGGCTGCCCTCTGTGGTTCTATATCAATGCTACAAGAACACGTGCTAAAGGGGTGCTTTTCCAGTCCTATTGCCAACTAGGCAGCTGACATCTCATTCAAGTGACCTTGGGATTAAATCTGGCAAAGCCAAGCTGAAGTCTGAAGGAAGCTCTGCAGCCAATAGGTACCAATTGCCTTAAATGTTATGTAGAACTTTCTGTTGTTAGTCTAAAAGAGCTTACAGAGAACTGTGTAGTATCCTAGTATTTGCAGGGCAGAGACACAAAGAAATATGTAAACAGTCACTTGCATGGCATTCCTCCAGAAAAGACAGAACAAACTGGTAACGCTAGTTTTCCTCCAGTAGGTACCCTGGGGGTACAGGTGTATTTGTAGGCTGTTTCACTATTTTGTGTGTTTTGGGGGAGCACCTTTTGATTTTCTAACAATGGCAAAATATCACCTGATTACATATATTTGCATTCTTTAAACTTAGTTTTCACTTAGTATTTACCTAGCACATGCTGGGCACCAGAGTAGATGCTGTTCTCAAGAGTTGGGGTGGGAGCAGTAGAAACAGGTCATCAAATAAATCTTTACCCTTCAGTAACAGAGGTCAGTAACACAAGCACAAGGAGAGGTCACTGACATTGCTGGGATGGAAAAGTATAGAATCAGATAAGGTTTCCTCCAGGAAGTCCTTTCTAGGTCAAGTCTTAAAGAGTAAGATCAAGACCAAACAGCCAGAGCCAACTGCATGCCTAGGGGCCTGAACTGTGAGGAGAGTCAGGCCACAGAAGAACGAGAGCATTGAAAGAACAGCACTCTGAACTATTTTGTATCAGTCCCCGATGTGGGAAAAACAGTGCCCAGCAATGCAAAAACAACTAAAAATATCAGCTGCTGCCCGCCCCCCTCCCCCATCGCCTTTCCTCTACATTCACCCACCACCCCAGAGCACCCCACTGTGTAAGTTTGATAAAAGGAACTAAAAGAGCTGACATCAAAAGTTGCCATAAAGTGCCCAGAAGAGCGCATGGCACAAAGTACTTTATAAATATTCAAGTAAAATAGAGCCTAGAGGTGACACAAAGCTTCGCAAAAGATCTTCCCAGGGAACTCCCAGAGCCCCTGACAGCCCTGGAGGCAGCCCTCTTGGAACTTGAACTTTCTTCCCGTTACATCGCAGCTAAGACACCCGCCCTATCCAAGCGTGGGCGAGACCCGTACCTGCAACAGCAGCGCCCTTTAGCCCTCCCTGTCTCGCCTTCCTTGATACCGAAACAACAGCAAGAACGCGTGAGCCTCCTGCCATCCCGGACCAGGCGATGGGCCCCGAATGGAGAACGCCCTTGGGGTGTTGAGCAAAACCCCCGCGCGCGGCGAGCAGGTGGCCCCCGCGCTCCCGCCGCGCGGTGACGAGGCGCAGACAGGTGCCCGCGGGCGCGCCGTGCCCGCTCTCTGCGCAGCCCGGGGCGGGCACGCCGGCCCGGGGCCTCCGGAGCCAGTGCCTGCGCGCGGCCTCCCGGGCGCGCGGTGCCCAACCCGGGCGCGCGGTGCCCACCCCGCCGCGGGGCTGCACACCCCGCCTCCTGCGCGCGGTGGCCGGTGCCCACGCCGCGGCGGGGGCGCGCGATCCCAGGCGGCCCGGGAGGCAGAGCCCGCGCCCCTTGCCCGCCGCCGCTCACCAGTTTCCCGAGCCCACGATGCACACTTTCAGGGGCGCCGCTGCCATGGCCAGGACGGAACGCAGCTGCACCGCCCGAGCTCCCCAGGCCAGCCGCCTGCCCGCTCCGGCTCGGCCTAACCCGCAGCGGCTGCGGGCGCCCCGCCCCCTCCCGCCTCTCAGCCAATGGACGCCGCCGCCCCCGCCCGGGAGCTCCAGGCGGCCGCTGACAGCCCGGAGGACCCGCCCCGCCACTCCCGAGAACCACTGCGCACGCGGGCGACCGGGTGGGGCGGCCCCGGGCCCGGCGCTGACATCGCCCCACCCCCTTGTCGCAGGGCATGGCGGGAGTTGTAGTTCCCGGCGCCGGCGGCCACGCGGAGGGCTGTCCCCCGGGCTCGCCGCGCTGGAGGTTGCACCGCCCTCCCGGCTGAGAGGTCAGGCCCGGCTGGCCACCCACTCACAGCTTTCTGCACACGCGGAAAGAGCTGCCACGCTGCAATTTGGAGCCCAGAGAGGATCTAAAGTTGACTTTAACGACTGTGAGACTTGGGCACACAACTTGAAGTGCTCACACCTGGCTTTTTAGCCGCTGACACACAGGAGAAGCCAGGAGCTCCCTGGGGAACGTGTATCCTCCGAGGCCTGCGGTCTGCACGGTGTCTGCCCTTCCGGGTGGTCACTGGCTCTAATCAGTCAAGGGAGAACCGGAGGCTGCAGCATTGGGGCCTCACCATGTGTGGCAGGACACGCCCCTGTGTGTTTGCCCCAGGTCACCAGGAGGTTTGTGGTTCTGAGACTTCAATTCCCTCCTTCCTGGCAAATGAACATTATTGTTTCATTCTGAGTGTCGCTTTGCACCAGGCACTCTGAGAGGCACTGTGGGAGGAAGACAGCGTGGTTTGAACCAGTGATTCTCAAACTTGCGTGCTCTCTCAAACTGAGAGTCTCTGGAGCTTTTTATAATCCCCATGCCCAAGGACAGCACCAGCCCAGTCACGGCACAACCTCCTGGGATGGGATACAAGGATCAGAATTTTTTTAATTCAAAAATTGAGGAACAGAGGATTAAAATACCAGAGGAGATGTTACAGAACAGGGAGGGGGCACCCCAGACCCCACAAACCTGCCTGCTCTAAATAGGTTCTGCCATCCGCTGCATCAACACAAAACATATGAGACTTTAATGGGAAGGAACTTTAATACAATTAGGAAACAATACAGGAAAGGCAAAGAATATAGTTTCTAAATCAAGCACCTAAAGGTACCCGTCCCCTTGTGGGTAAAAGTCCATCCAAATGGGACTGGCCCAGAGCAAGGCCCCAAAGCCTGCCACCTTCCAGTGGGGACCCACAGAAAAGGATCAGAAACAACCAGACAAGTCTGGAAGGAAAAGAGCAAAATCAAAATCAAGTCAAAAACCGCCATTGTTATTCTCCCCACGGGTCTCTCACCCACATCTGTGTCAACCAGTCCACGACCAAAAGGCAAGTGTAGTTTCTTCACATGTATCTCGGCTCCATGTGCCTCCTCCAAGTCTCCTTCTGGATCCATCCTGCTTCCTTCTTTCCTCAGTCTCCTCTGCAGCATCTTCTCTCTCTCTCAGCTCCACCCTTCTTTTGGGTGTGGCAGGAAACCTGGAACCTCCCCCTCTCCTGGGGACCACCCTGTTACAGAGACTGGCAGAAGAAACCAATACTCAAGTACCTCGAAAAATTATACATCTCTTATTTCAATGCCCAGAGCATTAACTTTTACTTTTTATTTTCACCTTTACACTGTATGGAAGATTTATCTACATTACTTAAACATATTTACTTAAAGAAATATTTAAAGAGAGTGGGTGAGACACAGATTTCTCTCCATTCCTCACTGATGCTTTACTGTCAAGTATTTGCTTGAATGAAAGGATAGCTAAGCAGGAATGATGTGAAAGATGGAATATTCAAGTTTTCTTCATTTCCCCCCTTGCATTTGTGTTATAAAATGGGTTTATCAAATAATGACATCATGTACTTGAGTCTGCATGTATTGCAAAAATTTACACCAAGTGATTGATTCATTTTTAGCTTTTACCTAAAAGATTCATACCTCATCTGGAAACTCCTGCCCCCAGCCTTACATGGGACACTTGCTTGATAAAAGTTACCCGGCTATTCTGTGGATATAACCTACACAGCAGCAGCATCTGGTGTTTATCTGTCACCTGCTTTGCACAAGACATTGTGGCAGAAAAGACATAGTGAGTAGTCATTTGCCTTATAGACTGGTTAAGACTGAGACGTAAACCAAATAGGGAAATTCATGAATGTAATGTTGTGAGAACAAAGCAAGAGATTGCACATAGTATGACTCCATTTCTGTGTGTTCAGAAACAAGCAAAATGAAGTCTATCACTGGGGCTGTAAATATACATAGTAAAATGGGAAAGAAAAACTAGGGAAAGGCAAACAAAGACTAGATTGTGGTTAAGGTGGAGGGGATATATGTATATTTATATATATGATGCACACTTTGATGTATCTTTTTATTTTTTATTTTTATTTTTTACTTATACAAGAGCTGGGGTACAGGCCAGATGCGCAGGAAGGTGAGAGGATTCACCAGAGACAGAGTGGGCAACAGAACAGGCAGACTGACAAAATACACTGCTGAGGGGAGCAGTGGACGAGACAGGAGAGGTCTGCTCGCCATGTGGATTGCTCCGAGGCCAGCGGGGATCAAACTGGCACTGCAAAGGCTGCGGACAGCTTCACAGTGCTGCGCTCAACCGCCTGTGCCACCAGGGAAGCCCCTGATTTATTTTTTTAATGAACCGTGGGGGAGGGAAGAAGCTGAAGTACAAAAGAGTGAAGAAAGCCCATTTTGAGATGGCCAGTCTTCTGCCAGTCCCTCTCCAGGTCATCTAAGATAGCAGTGCTGATGATGTTGGCCATCTGTGTGCCACTTTGCCCAGGAGGTTTGAGCATCTTGGAAGACAAAGAGTTAGTCTGTCTCATTGTATGGTGACGGTGCCAACTCTTCAGGGACCTGGAGATGCCATAGAGTGGGTCTGATTCTGTGTCTGGAGACAGTGCCTCCGACAGCTTGACTTGTGTGTGCAGGTATCATGGTAAAAACTCACCAGGCAGCTGGAGGACAAGCAGCACTTTAAAAACTCAGCCCAAAAGTCTTCTTGGCTAAGTCACTGAGGTCAGGAAGTACACTTTATTTCCTGCATTAGAGGAAGCAATGCAACTATTGCCAAACTTTCCAGCATAACTCTCTTTTCCTCTCGCTCCAGATAACATTTTTCTCAGTTCTCTGCAGCCCTCCCCACCAACCTTTTAGCTTATTGCACGACCCTCCTGAAGGCCTTTCTCACTTCCTTCTGTTGCCAGATCCCCAAGCCAATGCTGTGTACTATATGGTAGAAGCACTTGCAGGCATAAGAGTCTCTTCTGGTTATCACTTTGTTGCCTAACAAACCACCCCAAAAACTTCAATCTTCTAACAGCCACATTCTTTTAATTAGCTTCAGAATCCACAGTTTAGGTCAGACTCAGTCAGACTCAGACTGGGAGTAGACAATCAAATGGCATTGGAAGACCCACTTCCAAGGTGTCTTATTCACATGCCTGGCAAGGTGGTGCTCAGATGGGGAGAGGCCTGCAGTTCTGAGTCTTCTCCTTACGAGCCTTTCTAGAAGCTGCTTCCTACGGCAAGCGCCTGAGTTCCACCAGCAAGTATCCCAAGAGAAACAAAGTGAAAGTTACTAGTTTATTAGTACATGGACCCAACAATTATGATGGCATCACCTCTGTTATGATCTTTTGGTCAAGAAATCACAAAGGAAGACTGCAGTTCAAGGAGGGGTGGTAACAGAAGACTTTAAGAGTGGTCAAGTAAGATAAGGTACGTCAATCCAGCAGAAAGCAGCAGGCTGCTGGCTGGCCCTTTAGGTTTGGTTGTCCAGGCAATGCATTGTACGACAGAAGGCTCCATGCACATTGTGGACACGACAATTGGTATGTTTAAGATAGCCATTTTCTGACAGATGGTTGCAAGCATCTTGGAAGAGGGGTGCCTTTTCCCAGCCACACAACCATATTGTATAAGCGAGCCGCTGCTCTGGTTGTTGGTGACCCCTGTGAGAGTAGTTTAGTTTCAATTTGTGGCAGAGTGTAGACTCAGCCTACCGTGGATGGAGGTATAAATAGAAGGCAAAAAGTAGAGTTTGAGAGAACGTAAATAGTGGTTTCTAAAAGTTTGGCTGACAGCAAGAGATGATGGATGGGACATGTGGGGAGGGAAAGGCAAAACTAAAGAGGGAGAGGAAGAATTTGTAGGTTTTTTTTTTTTTTTAAGGCAGAAAGGCCAGAACATGTTGAATACTCCTGGGGAAGAGCCAGTAGAGAGGGAAAAGTTGAAAACATGGAGAGGAAATAAAAGAGGGAGTGGGAGGGTGAGGGAGAAATTTGCCTTGAAATAGATGAGACTCTGGAGAGGGCACAATTGAATGAAACACAGGAGGCTGCCGTGGGAAGACAGGGAAGAGAGGGCTCCAGGGAGAGGGAAGAGCTGGTGCAAAGATCCTGAGGTAGAACATAGCCTGTGTGTTTGGGAACAGAAAACTATAATGTAGTGAACAAGTGTGTGAGAGTGAGGAATTCTAGTTGGAGATGCAGTCAGGTCAATTTAAATCGTGGGAACTTGTGATCCATGTTTAAAAAAAAAAAGGGATTTTCCACTAATCAAATCTTATTCAATACAAAATTCAAAGTAAATAATAGTCATGAATTTATTTTTTTTTAAGATTTATTTTATTTACTTATGCATCATGAATTTAAACTCTTGAAACAAAACAAAATAAAAATTCATGAGATGAGTATAGGGTGATTTAAAGAAATTTAAATTTAAAGAAATAAGTGAACAAACAAAGTAGAAGGGAAAGCTCTTCCTGCTAGTAGAATGTCGACTAATAAATATAGAGGAATGAGGGTGATAGATGATCATCAGTGGATGCTGAAAACAGTAGTGAAAGTTTCATCAGGGATTTGATATTTACCTCAAAATTTCCATGCAAATTACTCACAAAGAATAAACTTTACAGTAGAGAAAACTGGTGGATGCCATCTTAACCAAGTGGCCA